CGGGCCGCCCCCACCATCACCCCTCTGCCCTTCCCGCAGCGCTCCGACCCACGCCTGCTCTCCCAGTTCTTCTTTGCCGACGAGAGGGTGACACGGGTGGTGGCCGAGATCAACGGGCTGGATGCCGAACTGGATCCGCAGCAGTACCTGGTGCTCCTCAACCAGCTCCACCTCAGCCAGGTACGGGGCAGCCCGGATCCCGGTGTGACTCGGTCCCCCCGGGAAGCCGCGGGTGACACCCCTGCCTTCCCCAGGCTCACCTGCTGGCCGTCCTGGAGCGGATCATGGAGGAATGCATCCCCACGCAGCGGCACAGCCGTGACTACCTGGTCAAGTTCCCCGAGGAGCTCTTGGTGGACAACTTGGGAAACCACATGCTGTTTGCTGCCGAGGTGAGCCTGGGGCACCCCACCATGAGCTGACCCTGGGGTTAGGCATTGCTGCTGGCTGCTGACAGTCCCTATCCCGGCAGTGTCTCCTGGCTGGGACCTTCCTGGAGATGGAAGAATCAGATGGGGCACAGCTGCGGCCCCAGGCCAGGAATCTGCTGTGCAGCCTGGAGCTGGTCCGGACAGTGCTGAGGGAGCAAAGCCTGAGCCAACCCAGCTCCTACCCAGAGCCTGTCCGGGCTGTGCTCATCCAATTTGACCGGCTATTTGCAGAGTTTGAGCTGAGGTAAGGGGCAGGGTTGGGGTGCTGGGGTCCTGGGCTGTGCCAGGACAGTAGGGGCCTCACAGTCTCCCCATCTCTCCAGCTACGTGTCCTCGCTGGTGGCAGTGAAGTCTCCTGATGAGATCTACAGGCAGCAGGAGATCATCGTGCTCTTCTGTGAGACAGTGGAGAGGTGAGTGAGGGGCACTGTGTGTCAGGTGAGGGCTGCAGGGACTCCAGCCCCAAGGACAGGCAGCATCCCTAGGCTCAGATCCTCTGTAAGGGTGTCTGTGTGTCCCCAGAGCCCTGCACCTGGGCTACCTGACCCAGGAGATGATTGATGGCTATGAACCACTGCTGATGTTCACCATCCCTCGCCTGGCCATTATCAGGTGGGTGCAGCCCCTGGAGAAGGGGGTATGTTCCCTGCCCTGTACCAACCTCTTCTCCCCATGGGGAGTTGGGGTCCCAGGCAACCCTCAGCATGAATTTGGCTCTGTCCCCTCACAGCGGTCTCCTCATCTACCCCGAGGGTCCCCTCAGCCTGGAGCGGAGCCCTGAGGAGATGTCCCGGGTCTTCAGCCCCTTCTACAACCTCCTGAAGAAGATCAGGTGTGCCGTGGGGGACGATGGGTGTGGCTGTGGGGCAGCAGTGGGGCTGTGGCACGGGGCTGATGCTGACCCCTCACGGCAGGGACCTGTTGCGGGTGCTGTCAGCAGAGGAGCTCTGCCTGCTGGAGAGGAGCCTGTGCACAGCCGAGCAGGAGGATCCCTGCAGTCCAGACACCTCCCCAGCTTGGGGTGCAGCTGTGCCCAGCGTGGACTCCCCTGCTCCATTCAGTCTTCTGGAGGTCCCTAATGCCACCCAACCACCTCCCACCTGCACGACGCGACTGGGACCCCCCAGTGCAGTGGATGACCTGAGCACCGATTGGCAGCGGGGCTGTGCGGTGGGCAGGGAACAGGGCCAGGATGGCAAATCCCTATCCAGTGGGACAGGGATATCTCATACCATCCCTGGTGTAATGGTCACCTCCCCTCTGCACAGCCCCCAGCCCCTTGGGAGCGGCCCAGGGATGGGGGTCAATGCCACCCCAGGTGCCCGCTGCTTGGAGCTGCGCTCCCGCTACAGCAGCACCAAGGACATGCTGCACACCCTCTTCGTCTGCATCTCGGGTGAGTGACCCCCAAGCCAACCTCCCCGCACCCTGATCCCCCCAGCACCCTGACCCCCTGCCCTCCTGGTGCAGGGGTGGCTGATCAGCTCCAGACCAACTTTGCCAGTGACATGAGAAGCATCTTGAAAACAGTCTTCAAGATTGTGTGCTCAAAGGCGGAGCCCTCAGATGAGCAGAGTGACAGCAGTGAGTAATCCCCAGGGACATGTGGGACTGCTCCTCTCTGCCCTGCCCATCGCCCATCCCTGGTGAGACAAGGCCACAGCCCCAGGCTTGGGAAAAACAAGTGGCCATAGTGCCCGCCCAGCTCCAGCTTGGCTGGACCACAACCCTTGTCCCCGCAGAAGAGAAAGATGGTGACTCCTGTGTGACACGTGCTCCTGGTGTGGCTGACTGCCCACTGTGCTCCAGCCCTGCAGAGGCTGCCGGGCTCCGGAGGGCAGGTAAGGGGCTGCCCAGGTGCCACGGCTCTGGGGCAGGGTGTGAGGCTGGGGCTGATCCTGTCCCATCCTGCCTTAGGGGGTCTGGCTGTGAAGGGAGCCAGGCTGAGGGGCTTTCACCAATGTGTTTTACCCAGCAGGTGCCCGCCACCTGCCCGAGTGGGTGCCGGACAGCACGTGCAGCCAGTGCTCTGCCTGCCGCTCGCCCTTCACCCTGCTACGCCGCCGGCACCACTGCCGCAGCTGTGGGAAGGTAGGATGGGGTTGGATTGGGGCATGTGGGGTTCCCTGAGGGACCCAGCTCTGCTCAGCCCCTCTCTGGTCTCCCGGCAGATCTTCTGTGCCCGCTGCTCACCGAACACTGCAGTGCTGCCCCACTATGGCCAGACCAAACCCGTACGTGTGTGCACCCACTGCTACACCACGCACCTTCCTCCCGCATCCCGCTGTGCCCGGAGCCAGTGAGAGCCCCTCTGCCAGATCTGCACCACAGCAGGATGGGTGCCCAGGGCCGCTCCGGGGCTGCTGGGCAGCAACTCGGCCCCATGACTATCCTCAGAGCTTGGTGGGCATGGCGGCAGGACCCCCCCCCCACATGGTGTTAGGCTTTCCCCCGATGCACAGGGGCAGGACCCCACAGACGGTGGCAGACTATATGGAGTGATGGCAGGACCGCCTCTCCTGGTGCACCGTGGCCTGCTCTGCTTTCGGTGAGCCGCCTGCTGCTGCCGTGCACCTGCCCCCCGGCTGGAAATATGCTTCGTGGTGGTTTTTCTTCAGGTGAACTTTGGCTGCTGTTGGGCCCGGGGCAGAGTCTCCCCCCGGGGCTTGGCCTGAGAAGGTGCAAACAGCCCTCACATGACAGCGGGTGCCCCGGGGCCGCCCGTGCCGTGCCCGGGAGATGGGGCCCTTCCCCGATAAGGAAGGTGCTCCCCTTCCTTCCCTATCGCCTCCACCCGATGGATTTTAATAAAAGAGAAGAACTCGTCTGTCTGGGCCGCGGTGATTCCCGTGGGGCTGGCGGGCGCGGCCGGTCTGAGGACACCCGTGGGCTGGGTGGG